GCCCCTGGAGCTCATGGTCGGGGCTGGGGGGCCGCGGGGCGCCGGGTCTGAGGCTTCCTGTTGTGCGCGGCCGGCGCGGTCGCCATGGAGACCGCGGAGGGGCCAGGGAGGTCGCGGCGCAGCACGGGAAGGGAGGGGCGGGGAGGGAGGGCCGGGACGCGCGCGCCTTCCTGGGGTCACCGCCGCCCTGCCGCCCAGGCTGTTCCGAAGGAATTTCCACGGGGATCTTCGTGTCTTGGGGGGCCCGGGGCGGGGAACTGCATCCCTGCCCCGGAATGGCCTGGCGCAGAGTCACAGGGAGAAATGAGGGACCTGCCCGCTCCCGGCGGGGTCCGGAAAGCCCTGACCCCCCCCCGGCCGCCCCCGGCCCCCCAAAGGGGGCGGAAGGTTCTCTCCAGCTCGGGTTCTTCGTCCCTTTCCCGGTTCCCGCGCGGCGCGCCGGCGCCCCCGCGCGGCCGTGCCGTGGACCTGCAGCTGCGCGCTGAGCTGGGGACCCAGGCTTGAGTGTGTGTGTGTGTGTGTGTGTGTGCGCGCGTGTGTGTGTCCTGGGGCTTGAACTCACGGCCTGGGCGCTGCCCCTGAGCTCTTCCGCGGGGGCCAGCGCTCTACCACGGCTCCACGTCCTGTTCCTGAGTGGCTCATTAGAGATAAAGAGTCTCCAGTACACTTTGGTGCCCAGATTGTCCTCAAATCATGATCCTCGGATCTCAGCCTCCTGAGTCACTGGGATGACGCGCCAGCCCGGAGCCACCAAGCACCTAGCTAATGAATGGACGTTTTAGGTTATTCTGGGAGAGTTAACAATGTGACCTGAGTCTGGGCAGGTGGCTCAGTGCTTGAGTGTTTGCCTAGCATGCGTGAAACCCTGGGTTGGATTCCTCAGTTCCACAGGAAAACAGAAAAAGCTGGAAGTGGCGCTGTGGCTCAAGTGGTAAAGTGCTCGCGTTGAGCTGAAGAGCTGAGGGACAGCGCCCAGGCCCAGAGTTCAAGCCACACAACTGACCCCCCCCCAAAAAAGTTGGGGGTGTTGGTTGGAGATCTGAGCCCCTGGCAGGCCCCTTCCTGAGGGGGGATGGTAATGAGGAGCAGGCTGAGCAGGGGAGCATCTCCCAGGCGCACTGCCCAGGCCCAGGCTGCGGCCTGGAGGAAGGGCAAGGCTTCCTCCCTGGTGCCAGGCAGTCGCAGGTCGCTCAGGCCGCCGCAGGCCGGGCTCACTTCAGGCCCCAGCAATCACTGCTCTTTTCTCCCACACTCAGGGACGCCTCACAGCTCCCCATACCTAGAACGCTCTTCCACTCAGTTTTGGTCAGTTGTGGGGCTTGAACTCAGGGCCTGGGAGCTGGCCCTCAGCTCTTCAGCAAGGCTAGTGCTTGACCACTTGAGCCACAGCGCCACTTCCCGTTTTCTGGTGGTTTATTGGAGATAGGAGTCTCACGGTCTCTCCTGCCCGGGCTGGCTTTGAACCGCGATCCTCAGCTCTCAGCCTCCTGCGTAGCAGGGATTACAGGCAGGAGTCATTTGAGCCTGGGTGTTCTTTGTGTGTGTGGGGGGGGAAGAGTTGAAGCCCAGGCCTGGCCTCAAATTCTCCATCTTCTTGCCTTGGTCTCCGCAGCGCAGGGATTACAAATGTGCACCACAGCGCCCAGTATAAGCCTCGTTATTCCCGGTACTGAACTCGGGACTTGCTGACATTTTTTGGATCTCATTTGTTGCATTTCTCCTTGTCTTTACATCTCATCTCCTGTAGACCCCATGGTGTAGGGGCTGGAAGAGGGGAGGGGTGAGGCTGTTGGAGAAAGCCAGGGCTGTTGCTGATTGGTTCATCTGGGAGCCTGTTACAGAAGACCTCTAGGACAGCGAGGCCCAGGGCGAAGGCTGCTTCCACCCGCCAGGACGCGTTCCTCACGCTGGCCTCCAGCTTTTGATCTTGAGCCTCAGGAGAGGCTGCGATTACACGTGTGAGCCAACCAGCCCAGCTTGCTTTCTTCAGTTATGTTGGGGATGGAACCCAGAGCCTCATGCTCAAAAGAAACAAGCTGGCTACCCCTTGCTCACGTCTGTCATCTTAGCTACCTGGACAGCTGAGATCTGGAGGATCAAGGTTTGAGATCAGCCCTGGGCAGAAAAATCCGAGATTCCATCTCAACAGTAGCTGGGTGTGGTGGCACCAACATCACCTCAGCTACCCAGGAAGTGTAAAATAGGAGGATGACCCTCTCAAAGTGACCAGCATACAAAAGAGCTGGAGAGCTGGGTGCCAGCGGCTCACACCTATAATCCTAGCTACTCAGGGAGCTGAGCTCTAAGGATCACGGTTCAAAGCCAGCTTAGGTAGGAAAGTGAAGAGCTAAGGGCCAGCTCCCAGGCTCCAAGTTCAAGGCCTGGGGTGGAGGCTGCAAATGTGCTAAGGTAGAACAACAACAAAATGATTGTCAGCAAAACGCCAGAGGGGAGAAGTGTGGTTTTTTTTCCCCTCCGAGAACCAACTTTGCCAATGCCCAACTTAGACCTGTAGCCTTGTCGACCGGAGACCCAGGCCTGCCATCTAAACCCAGTGGGTGGTACTAGTCTTATTTTTTAGTAGGTTCTGGGGCTTGAACTCAGGGCCGGGGCACTGTCCTGAGCTTCTTTTGCTCAAGACTATTGTTCTACCACTTGAGCCACAACACCACTTCTGGCTTTTTCGGGGTAGTTTATTGGAGCTAGACTCATGGGCTTTCCTGCCCAGGTGGCTTCGAACCCTGATTGTCAGCTCGCAGCCTCCTGAGTAGCTATGATTACAGGTGTGAGCCACCTGTTACACCTGCTCGTTCTATATATTACAGGGAACCTGTCACCCGTCTGCTGTATCAGAGCCCTACATATATCCCATAATTGCTTTCTTCTGTGATGCTGGGGCTGGGAACCCAGGGTCTTGTGGTTGCCCAATAATTATTCAAGCAGGGTCACTATGTTGTTCAAACTGGAACTCCTGGGCTCACATAATCCTCCTTTATCTCAGCTTCCTTCTCCCTGTAGCTGGAACTACAGGCATGACACATAGTGCCCGGTTCCATGTCAAGATTAGAAAGCGCCTTCTGGACATGCCATCCATTCCTTGATACTCTGGGCAGGGCGGCCGGCGGAGCTGGGGAGGAGAGCTCCAGTGTAGAGAAATGAGTTACAACACATTCTTAGGAAGTCTGTGTGGGCAGGACTCAGGTTTCCTGAAAGTTCTCATGTGCTTGACAATATGTCTGTGCATGTAGCGGTGACTCGACTGGTGACTTCTCCAGCTTGTAGGGCCTCGGGGGCCCAGAAGGTTCAGCGGTCCCTGGACCCCCCGCTCCACCCAGCTGCGGCTATTCCCGTGACCTTGCTGTTTGAGTTAACTCTGAGTGCTGGAAGCAAGCCCGCAGTCCAGGGGGAGGCCTCTAGCCCCAGGGCCCAGGGCCAGGCAGCGGTCACCATGGCGGCTACCCCAAGCCAGCTTCATTTCTCAACTTATTGTCAGTTGTGGGGCTTGAACTCTGGGCCTGGGCACTGTCCCTCAGCTCTTCAGCTCAAGGCAAGGGCTTTACAGCTTGAGCCACAGCGCCACTTCTGGTTTTTTGTTGGTTTATTGGAGATCAGAGTCTCACGGACTTTCCTGCCTTGGCTGGCTTTGAACCGCGATCCTCAGATCTCAGCCTCCTGAGTAGCTAGGATGACAGGCGTGAGCCACCAGCGCCTGGCTTCTCAATTTATTTGAACAGGTGAGTTCTTGTGCTGTAGTCTGGCGGATCCCAAACTCCCTAAGTTCATGGGATCCTCTGGCCTCAGCCTCCTATGATGCTGGCATACCACTGTGCCTGGCCTAGCTGGTTTTCAAAGAAATCCTGTCTGATGTGGCTGTTTTAAAAACTGGATGAAAGCCTCGCACCTGGCTCACACCTGTAATCCCAGCTACTCAGGAGGCTGAGATCTGAGGATCGTGGCTTGAAGCCAGTCTAGGTGGGAAAGTCTGTGAGACTCTTCTCTCCAATGAACCACCAGAAAACCAAAGTAGAGCTGTGGCTGAAAGTGGTAGAGCGCTAACCTTGAGCATAAAAGCTCAGGGACAGCCCCCAGGCCAAGTTCAAGCCCACGACAAACAGTAATAACTGTTAAAACTGACATGTGGAATTGAAATTAATTTGTACAACTACTTCAACATACAATTTTTTTTCTTTTTACTCAGCAGGCAAATGTCAGTAGACTCAAGATTTAGAATCTGAAGCCAGGCACCAGTGGCTGACGGCTATAATCCTAGCTACTCAGGAGGCTGAGATCTGAGGATGGCGGTTCAAAGCCAGCCTGGGCAGGAAAGTTCTTGAGACTCTTAACTCCAATAAACCTCTCAGAAAACCAGAAGTGGCACTGTGGCTCAAGCGGTAGAGTGCTAGCCTTGAACTGAAGAGCTGAGGAACAGCGCCCAGGCCCAGAGTTCAAGCCCCCTCCCTCCAAAAAAAAGAACGAGGATGTGAGAGGCGGGGTGTGGCTCAGTGGTAGAGCACTTGCTTAGCATGTGCAAAAGCCCTGGGTTCCATCCCTAACACTGAAAGACAAGAAGGCAGCGGGATACTGATTTAGTATGAAGATGTTTATCTGCTTGTTTCCCAGGAGACCAGAGATAGTGGCTTTTCTGGTCTGTTCTTCGGGGAGCTGGTGACCAGGGCTGGCCCGGAGCCACGTGTGGTGACAATGCCTAGATGGAGACTGTGCAGAGACCCAGGCCTGGTTCTGACAGCTGGGACACGTTCCACAAACGGCCTGGAGATGCCATCAGAGCAGACTGCAGCCCTGCAGCGGTGCGGGTGTGCTCAGCGGCCCCACTCAAGGAGACCGAGCCCCAGTGGGGTCATTCGACGCTGCGGGGAGCCTGTGTTCCCTGGCCTCCAGCTTTTTCCATCATCAAGGCTGGTGCTCTACCACTTGAGCCAGAGCTCTACTTTCAGCTTTTTGTTGGCTAATTGGTGATTGGAGTCTCACGGACTTGGCTGGCTTTGAACAGCGATGCTCAGATGTCTCCCTCCTGAATAGCTAGGATTACAGGTGTGTGTACCCTCGCCAGGCTTCAACCCGGATTTAATGCGCAGGGAGAGCAGCTGGCTCTCGGGGCTCTCGGCCCAGCGTGGAGGCCCGGGGCCCTGGCTGGGCCGGGTCAGCCCGGGGAAGGCAGGAGGGCGGCAAGGCGGCGTCAGGGGAAGTCGCTGTAGGGCAGGCGGAAGGGGTAGAGCGGCGTGTAGCGCGAGTCCTGCCAAAGCAGCTTGTCCTCCAGGAAGGCGATGGTGGGCAGCGTGAGCACCAGGGTCTGGTGCTTGAGCATGCTGTACACATTCAGGCCTGAACGGGGAGGGGCGTGGTTAGGATGGGGGCGTGGCCAGGGCAAGGCCAAGCCGGTCAGCCTCATCTGCAGCCCCACACAGCTGCCCCTGCAGTGGAGAGGCAAGATCAAGGTGGGCGTGGCCAGACAGGGCCCCCAACCCATTCCTGGACCAGGCTAGGCAGGAGAGGGCGTGGCAGTGGTGGGGGCGTGGCCAGGCAAGGCAAAGCCAGACAGCCCCGCCCACAGTGGGAAGCAGACCTACCCTGGCAATGAATGGGTGGGGACAGTGTTGGGCGTGGTTATGGCGGGCGTGGCCAGTCAGCCAGAGTAGCAGAGAAGGGGCAGGGCAAATCGGCAGCCCGCTCCACCCCTCCCTGGTGGAAGCCGAGGGCCTGGGGCTGCCCTCTGGTGACAGCAGAGGGAGGAGGCCAGGCATTTCTGTAGCACCCGCTAGGCAGGGGCAGAGCCACACCTCCTGCCTCCGCCTCCCAGGCAGCTGCAGCTGGAATTACACCCGGCTTTTGGAGACCCCCCCACCCCCCCGGCCATGCTCACCCACAGCCGGGACCAGGTCGAAGGTCTTGAGCTTGGAGGTGGCCTCCACGATGTTCTGGGGCATCCCCTCGTGAGTCCTGCAACAGGAGGCCAGGAGGTGAGGCCCGGGGGGCGTGGAGGCCAGGCTTGGGTGACCCCCCCACCCCAAATCCCAGGGGACCTCCCCCCTTACAAGTCCACCAGGAGCACGGAGTCCCCCCAGCGGCGGTAGCGGGCCAGCTCCGTCAGGTACTGGGGGTCCGAGGTGGGCAGCTCCAGTGAGTCCACCACGTGCAGGTCATCCTGCGGAAGGAAGGGTCACACGAACCCAGTCCACAGCTGCACTGCCCCCCCCCCCCGCCAGTGCTGGGGCTCCTGACCACCTCACCCACCTGGCTCAGCTTCACCGTCAAGGCCACCCTGAGGCCCAGAGCCCGGACCTTCATGGGCAGCATGTAGTAGTAGCTCGTGGGGCCCCGGGGGCCGTGGGCGATGCCTCCTGTGGGGTCAGAGGAGCACCAGCAAGGTCAGAAATCTGCCTCAGCAGCCCCAGAGGGGCTGGTGGTGCTGGCACCTGGGAGGATGGGCTAGGAGAGTTGCTTGGGCCCAGGAGTTCAAGACCAGCCTGAACACTAGAAAAGCCAAGTGCAGTGGTGCACACTTATAATCCCCAGCACTCGGGAGGCAGAGACCACAGGATTAGGAATTTGAGAGGAAGCTGGGCTCTAGAAAGCTCTGAAGTGCGGGGCACTGCCCACTCACCTCCTCTCCAGATGGGGGAGCGGATGCTGCCGTGCCGGGCTCGCCCGCTGCCTTTCTGTTTCCAGGGCTTGCGGCCCCCGCCTCGCACCTCCGCCCTTGTCTTGGTCTTTGCATAGCTCTGTGGTGGCGAAGCCAGGAGGGGTCAGCTTCATAAGGTCGACGACCAAGGGAAAAATCAGGCCCAGGGGAAGCGGGTGAGCCAGGCAGCTGCTTGTGGGAGCAGCGTAGCTCCCATGGGGGAGGGACAGGGAGAAATCGGTCTGTGCCTATACTAGAAAGCCAGGCAGGGCCTGCTTCATGCTGCCCCCTGCCACAGGACTATTGCACATGCTCTCCCCTTTATGTTCGAGCTGGCCCCACTCCTGGGAGCTGTGAGGTGCACACTCAGACATCCGTCTGCAGCTGTACACAGACAGAGACAGCGTGGTGACATGCGTTCACCTCTCCCAGTGGCCCCCCAGTTCTCCCAGAGCACTCCCTGCCACCCGCTTCTCCCAAGACACTCACAATTCTCTTGAAGTTCCTCTGCCACACAGCAACCTGATACAGGATGTCCAATCTGGGAATGAGCAGGAGGCATGAGAAGTTCACCCACTTAAAACCGGCCCACAAGCCAGACACTGGTAGCTCACGCCTGTCATCCTAGCTACTCAGGAGGCTGAGATCTGAGGATCATGGTTCAAAGCCAGCAAGTAACCTGGGCAGGAAAGTCTGTGGGACTCTTATCTCCAGTGAACCACCGGAAAAGTGGAAGTGGCGCTGTGGCCTTGAGTTCAAGCCCAATAAAAAAATAAATGAAAAAATAAAAAAACCTCCCCCTGCAACCTCAGGGCCTTAGGGGGTCTGCCATCTCCACCAGCTCACACCACCCGCAGCCCACGGGGCCCCTCCAAGGTGGGTCCATCAGGGCATGGTGGCACAAGCCTGTAGTCCCCGCCCTCGAGAGGCTGAGGGGGGAGGATCACTTGAGCTCAGGAGCTGGAGACTAGGTAAAGAGATCCGACCTCCAAAGTGGGGAGAGAAAACTACAAAGATGAGCTGGTGCCAGTGGCTCATGCTTACTACAACCTTTCTAAACTTGGCTGATGCTCTACCACTTTCAGCCACAGTGCCACTTCTGGTTTTCTGGTGGTAAATTGAGGGTAAGAATCTCACCAACTTTCCCACCCAGGCTGCTTTCAAACCGTGCTCCTCTGACCTCAGCCTTCTGAGGAGCCAGGATTACAGGCCTGAGCCACAGGTGCCTATCCTCAGCCCCTTTTACTGTCAGATGGTCATAATTTTGACTGCATTGGCCTAGACTTCCATTCTCCTACTTACACTTCCTGCTATAATTGGGATGACAGACATGCCCCACTATACTTAGCTTTTTCTATTGAGATGGGGTTTCTCAAGCCTTTTTTTTTTTTTTTGCCAGAGCTGGCCTTGAGCTTCAAGATCTTCCTAATCCCAACTTTTCAAGAAGCTACAATTACAGCCTTCTCACCTTGGCACCTACTTGGTTTGGTCTTTTGAGGCTGTTTCTCTCTCTCTCTCTCTCTTTTTTTTTTGGTCATGGGACTTGAACTCTGGGTCTGGGCGCTGTCCCTCAGCAATTCGGCTCAAGGCGAGCACTCTAAGACACTTGAGCCACAGCGCCACTTCCGCTTTTCTAGTGGTTCATAGGAGATCAGAGTCTTACGGACTTTCCTGCCCAGGCTGGCTTTGAACCGCAATCACCAGATCTCAGCCTCCCGAGTAGCTAGGATGACAGGCGTGAGCCACTGGCGCCCGGCTGTTTCTCACTTTGGAGGCCCAGGCTGGTCTCAAATTCTGGATCCACCTGCCTCAGCCTCCAGGGCGCTGGGATTGCAGGGGCAAACCACCACACCCGATCCAGTGGCAGGAACAGCCATCACCCTAACTCCTGTGCCAGGTAGGGAAACTGAGTCTCAAAGCGACAGACTGCGATCCCAGGTCCTGCAGATTCTTGAATGCAGGAACCGGCCCCCCAGACCCCCCCCCCTTCTCTGGCGGCCCTCGGCTCACCTGGGCGCTGTGGCGAAAACATCGGGGTGCAGGTCGGTCAACCCCACGCGTTCCTGCTCATAGCCCCGCAGGGACTCGACCCAGGCTTGCACGGGTCGCTGGTGCGCGGGAACCCGGAGCTCGCATTTGCGTAGAACGGGATCCGGGACACCTGGAGCGGACGCCGGGTCAAAGGTCACAGGTCAAAGCCTCTTCTCCAC